TGGTAACCAATGCAGCCTCTAAGGGGGTTAGGTGGGATGGGGGCTACAAAGCAGACCTTCAAGAAGTTGCCCATCCCTGAGTGTCAGATGGTAAACCTCGCCATCTGACTGACCTGACAAATTCAAAGATATAGCTGTGTTAGTCTATAGAATCAGTATGTAAGTAGACTGAAGTCTACGAAAGCTCATGCTGCCAATTTCTTTTAGTCTCAAAGGTGCTATAAGATCTCTCTACATACTGAGCTGACAAAGAAAACCTGAGATGAAATTTCCACTCAACCCCAAAGCTTCCTGGGTGACCTTGCACCAGTAACCAGCTCTCAGGCTAGCCTACCTCACAGGGCTGTTGCAAGAATAAAAGAGGGGAGGGAAAAACAATGCACAAAGGTTTTTGGAAGAAGGAATTGGGTCTGGTTTCATTGACATAACCTGGTTCCTTTTTGTTATCAGAAGAGGGAGGGAGGGAGGGGAAGAGAGAGATCTGAGATGCATTTCCTAGCTACTGAGCAATCTGACCTCACATGATTGATAATCCTTTTTTTTTTTTCTTTTCTTTTTAAGCCACAGGCTGCAGGAGGAACAAGCCACAATCCCCACCTCCTTCAGCTGTCATCCTGTCAAAACAAAGGCTTGGTTGCCAAGAGCTGGCAGAGAAAAAAGGGTTTGGGGTGGGAGGGTAGAGAGAGACAGAGCAGGAGGAGCTATCATTGCAAGTCCTCAATCCAAGTTTCTCCTTCTCTCCTCTCTCCCCCAGTATGCTGGCAATGCACACAACTGGAGACAGAGTGCTGGAATGGCCTTCTTGCAAAAAAGAACAAGAAAGGGAGAGAGAGCTGGATTGTTTATATTTTTTTTTCTAACAGCAGGCGTTTAAAAGAGAGCTTTCCCCATGCCCCAACCCTGTGTTTACATGACAAGCAGCTGTGGCAACATTTTACCAAGCAAAGAACACAACAAAAACAGCGGCTGGCATCTCCTGCTGGGCCCGACTTTTCTTGTCTTTGGGAAACGCAATATTCTCTCTGTTCTCTTTCTACCTGTCACTTTTCTCCAAAGGATGCGCTGGCGTTCCAATTCTGTGACAGTCTCAGCCCCGGGTGCCTCTTTGCAAGACGCTGCAAACGATGCCCTTTCCGATTAGCGTAGAAAGACAAAGCAGAAGTGCTCCACCTCTGTGCCAACCTCGGCACCCAGTATTTCATTTAGAAATAACACTGGCGAGGAATACCATATTGTCATACCTGGGACCTCTGGGATGCTTCTGGTACAAACAGTGGGTAGCAAGGCAGAGGCTGTAGAAAAGGAACCTTGTGGGGAATTTACAGAGAGCAGAGGATTAGGGGGTAAAACGGGGCGGGAGGGCATTGTGGATCCCTGGAAGGTCACTGGGTAGGTCACCTAAGTCAAAAAGTAGGTCATGCAGAAATAGGTCACGCAGACTGGTGGAAAATGGAGGGATTTAATCCAAGACTTGGATTTGGGATCAAAAGGGAAGAACAGAATAAACCAGGATACTGCTGAGGTCCAGAGTCACAGAAAGAAAAGGTACAGTGGTCCCTCCACATTCGCTGGAGTTAGGGGTGAAAGATCCCCATGAAAGTGGAAAAAATGCCCATAAAAACCACTATTCTTTATACCTAAGAGAACACCTCCCTAGCAATCTCCAGGTCCTCCAGTGCAACTCTGTGGGTTAGGAGGGCTAATTCTTATATTTTATAATCCAAACTTTAATTTTAAAATTTAAATTGACTTGTTGTTTTATATTGTCTTTATTTAATACTGTTTTAAGGGGGGGAGGGGGCTAGGTTGCACTGTATGTTTAATGTATGGTTCGTTTTAAATTGTAAGCCGCCCAGATTGGCTCGCCATTGGGCGGGGTATAAATAAATTTTATTATTATTATTATTATTATTATTATTATTATTATTATTATTATTATTATTATTATTATTATTATTATTAACATCTGCCAGGCGTTGATCACAGAATCACGCTGGAGGACCTACAAGTGCCTAGCGAAGGGTTTTCTCTAGGAACTTCTAGGTTCTCCAGCACAACTTTATGGCCAATTTCCAGTAGAATTGCACTGGAGGGCTTAAGAGATTCCTAGAAAGAAGATATGAATCAAAACCGCAAATAATCAAATCCACAAAAGTCAAAGCCGCAAATGTGGAGGGCCAACTGTACTTGGTAATGAGAGTTCAGGCAATCCAGTTCTGCAAGGGAAGAAATAGGAAATGTTGTTTTCTGCAACCTACAGATAACAAAGTGAAAAGAAATGAGCAGTACTAAACATGGGCAGAGTATGTTTTCTTTATTTATTAAGTACAGTATATACAACCCATTCTTCCATAGGTAGTTTGTTGTTGTGTGCCTTATCGCTATTGTTAGAATGGAACAGGGGTTGGCAACCTAAGGCCCCAGGCCGGTCCTGCTCCCACCGCCGCCGCCCTCCATGATGATATTATTGTTATTACTTGTTCTTGGGGTTTTCTTGGCAAAATCTCCACAGGGGTTTTGCCATGGCTTTTCTAGGGCTGAGAGAGTGTGCATGCATATTTTTTTTAATTTTTAATTTTTTAAAAAAAATATTTATTTATTTATTTATTTATTTATTTATGGTGGGTGCTTCGGTTCCTCAATTGTCTGAAGGATAGCAACCCGGCCCCCGGCTCAAAAAGGTTGCCTACCCCTGGAATAGAATATGGAGAAACAGAATGGTTCCCAATCTGCAAAGAGATCGGTCAAGGCTGCATTTTATCACCCTGGTTGTTCAACTTGTACGCAGAAAACTTCATACAAAGAATAAGTTTGGACTCAGAATAAGTAGGAGTGAAGACAGGAGGAACATCAACAATCCAAGATATGCAGATGAAACCATACCACTAGCAGAAAACATCACAGACTTGGAACAATTACTAAGGAAGGTCAGGCAAGAAAGTGCAAAGGCAGGCTTACTCCTGAACATAAACATACTCCACTTCATATCACAGCATTACTAGGCAATTTTAATCACCAGCCCCTAGTGTTATAAAGAAAAAAATTAGAATCCGCCTTATTCCGTGGGCCTTAATTTGAAAATCTCCACATTTGCGTCAGACAGTAGGGAGTTGCTGCTGTGTACCATGAAGGCGAACCCTATCATGGGGTTTTCTTGGCAAGATTTCTTCAGAAGTTTGCCATTGCCTTCCCCTGGGGCTGAGAGAGAGTGACATGCCCAAGGCCACCCCATGGATTTCATGGCTGAGTGGGGAATGAAACCCTCGTCTCCAGAGTTACAGTCCAACACTCAGAAACTTGGCAAGAAAACCCTGTGATAGGGTTGCCATAAGTCCGACAAGACTTAAGGCAAACAACATACACCACTATTACACAATGTCCACAAGTTAGCACTCCAAATAAGTGGAGTGCTAACTAAAGGGGGTTGAAGACTGCCAGAAATAGTGCAAATTGAGTCCACTTTTAGGGTTAGGGTTAGGGAATCATGGGGACTGTATTTTATTGTGGCACCAGAGCTCTCTGACAGAGAAGGCTTAATGTCTCAGGAAAAAAAAAAAAACAATTCCCATGATTCCCTAGCACTAACCCTAACCCTAAAAGTGGGCTCAATTTGCACTATTTCTGGCAGTCTGCAACCCCCCTATGTGGGTAACTAATCTGAATTAAATGATAAGGACTGCACATTGCAAGTCAGAGAGAGAGAAACTTTGCCATATCCAACTTCCCTAGTGAGAAATCTGTTGCCAGCCACATTCAAAGTGGGAGAGCAAACAAAAATACACTGTTTTATGCTGCCTGCCTTCCATCCAATGTGTATTTGTGTGTGTGTTGTTTGCCTTAAATCTTGTCGGACTTATGACAACCCTCTCACAGGGTTTTCTTGCCAAGTTTCTTCAGAGGGGGTTTGCCTTTGCCCTCGCCTTCCTCTGAGGCTGAGAGAATGTGACTCGCTCAAGGTCACCCAGTCGGTTTCCATAGGGATTGTTGTTCTTGTTGTTGTGTGCCTTCAAGAAATTTCCGACTTGTGGTGACCCCTAAAGTGAACCTATCGTGGGGTTTTCTTGTCAAGATTTGTCCAGAGGTTTGTCACTGCCTTCCCCTGAAGAGGCTGAGAGAGTGTGACTTGCCCAATGTCATCCAGTGGGTTTCCATGGCCGAGCTGGGAATCAAACCCTGGTCTCCAGAGTCACAGTCCGACACTCAAACCTGAAATTTATATAGCTTTAATGATGGTAATTATAATAGTAATATAAAAAAATAAGTTTCAGACCATTCAAGTGATAAATTCTCTTCACACCTAAAAGCATTTGGATACTTCATACAATAATTTTTTGGGAGATGTATGTTAAGCACTGCCTTTTCCTGAGGAGGCTGAGAGAGTGTGACTTGCCCAAGGTCACCCAGTGGGTTTCATGGCTGAGCTAGGAATTGAACCCTGGGCTCCAGAGTCATACTCCAGCTCTGAAGTTTATATAAGTTTAAAATGATGATAATGATGATATATAAAAATAATAAGTTTAAAACCATTCAAGTAATAAATCCTCTTTATACCTAAAAATATTAGAATACTTCACACATCACAGTACTTTTTTGGAGCTGTACGTTAAAGCACTGCCTTCTCCTAAGGAGGCTGAGAGAGTGTGACTCGCTCAAGGTCACCCAATAGGTTTCCATGGGGATTATTGTTCTTGTTCTTGTGTGCCTTCAAAGACATTTCCCAATTATGGGGACCCTATCCAGGAGTTTCCTTGTCAAGATGTGTTCAGAGGAAGTCTGCCACTACCTTCCCCTGAGGAGGCTGAGAGAGCGTGACTCATCCAAGGTCACCCAATAGATTTCCATGGGGATTGTTGTTTTTGTTCTTGTGTGCCTTCAAAGACATTTCCCAATTATGGGGACCCTATCCAGGGGTTTCCTTGTCAAGGGGTATTCAGAGGAGGTCTGCCACTATCTTCCCCTGAGGAGGCTGAGAGAGTGTGCCGTGCCCAAGCTCACCCTCATGGCCGAGCTGGGACTCGAACCCTGGCCCTCAAGAGCCACAGTCCAGCACTCAATGCACTGCGCCACTGGGACTAAGCGCAGCCGCCCCTCCCTCCGCTTTAGACGTTAACTGCCAAATAAACAAACGAAGGCAGCGCTCTGAGGCGCCCCCTATAGACGGCCCGTGACAAGAGCGCCCCCTGTGGCTAGACTCCGCCACTACGGCGGTGGTCCCCTTTCCCCAGGCGAGGGAGGGTACCTTGCAGGCGGAGTAGACGCCCAACTTCTCCAGCTTCTTGGCGCGGGGAGCCGAGCGGAGCTGCGCCTTCTTCCCCGCCGAGCGAGCCGAGCCGGGGCCCACGCCTGAGGCGGCTGAGGTGGTAGTACTGGCGGCTGAGGAGGCTGTAGGGCTCTCAGTAGCGGCGGTAGCGACAACCGCCGCCGGGGAGCTCTGCTGAGGCGGCCCCGCCGCACCGCCCCCATTGGCGGCTGAGGCGGCGTTTCCCGGCCCCGCCGCGCCCGCCTCAGCCATGGTGGCTCCGCCAGGCTCGCTCGGGGCCCGGCTCCTCGTCGAGTGCCGTGGAGCCTCCTCCGCTTCTTCCCCTTCGCCGCCGGCTGCTCCCTGAGGAAGGAGGGCGGGAGGGAAGGAGGGGACAGGCCGCACCGCGGGCGGGTCCTCTCAGGGAGGCGGAGGGGCCCGCCAGCAGCGACCGACGACGGACATCTTGTTTGTCTGTCGCGGCTGAGGCGATGGCGATGGCGAGGATGAGGGGAAGCCCCGCCGCCGGTGGCCCTCTTTCGCCGCCTAGGAAGCGCCGCGGCAGTACAGGGGCGTCCCCAACAGTCCTCGCCTCGCAGCGCAGCCATTTCGGGGAAGAAAAGCACCCGCCTCGACGCCCCGGCCGGCTCCTGGGCTGCGTCCGCACTGCAGAAATAATGCGGTTTCACGCCCACGCTCCTTTTAACCTCTTCAGAGGGCTATGGGGATGTTGAGTTTGGGGGGTTGCAGACTGCCAGAAATAGTGCAAATTGAATCCACTTTAAGGGTTAGGATTAGGGTTAGGGAACCATGGGGACTGTATTTTATTGTGGCACCAGAGCTCTCTGACAGAGAAGGCTCAATGTCTCAGAAAAAAAAAAAAAAAACAATTCCCATGATTCCCTAGCACTAACCCTAACCCTAAAAGTGGACTCAGTTTGCACTATTTCTGGCAGTCTGCAACCCCCCCCCCCTTTGTTAGACAGAGCCATACAGGTGCCTCTTATGGACCTCTCATAATATTTAGCGCATAACGTTTTGCACATTATTATTATTTTCTTTTCTGAGGGGGGGGAGGACCGTCCACTTCAGTATGAGAACAATAAACCCCAGAATTCCATAGCCTGGAGCCCTTGGGAGTCAAACCGGATTATTTCTGCAGTGTGGATGCAGTCTTAGAGGAATAAAGTGACCAGACGGCCTCCTTTACCAGGACGCATCGTATCTTTCAGCCTTCCGTCCAGGAGGAATTTCAGAATGTCCTCCATTTTTAAGCATGAATTTACATTTGCAGTTGTCCCTCCACATTTGCGAATTTGACTTTTGCAGATTTGATTAGTCACAGATTATATTAGTATGTTGTCTTTAGGAATATCTAGGTCTTCCAGTGCAACTCGGGGGGTCAACTTTAATCAAAAATTACATTGAAGGACCTAGAGCAGGGGTAGGCAACCTTTTTTAACCAGGGATCAAGTTGCTGTCCCTCAGACAATTGGGGGGCCAAAGCACAAAAAATAAATACCGTATTTTCCGGCGTATAAGACGACCCGCGTATAAGACGAGCCCCCCATTTTTCCAGTCAAAATATAGAGTTTTAGCACCTCTATCCTCATTATCCTTATATCCGGCGTATAAGACGACCCCCCCCCATTTTAGCCACAGATTTTGCAGGTAAAAAAGTAGTCTTATACGCAGGAAAATAAGGTAAATTAATAAATTAAAATTAAAAAAAAATAAAAATAGAAAATTAAAAATATATATGCATGCACACTCTCTCAGCCCCAGAAAAGCCATGGCAAAACCCCAAGAAGAAGTAATAACAACAATAATATCATCATGGCAGGTGGCAGCAGCGGCAGCAGGACCGGCCTGGAGCCGATCCAAAGGCCTCGGGGGGGCCGCATCCGGCCCCCGGGCCTTAGGTTGCCTACCCCTGACCTAGAGAGAACACTCCTTTAGGCATTTGTAGTGCCTCCAGTGCAATTCTATAGTCAATGTCTGGCAGCACAGCAGGAAAACCGCCACCTGTCCGGGCCGGAAACCCCCGAGGAGCACCTTGGGTGGTGTCACCGGGGGCAGTCAGCATCCCCCCCCACACACACACACCCCAGTGATGCTACTGCTCTGGAGCCAGGCATAGTGGAGCTGTGCCTGCCTCTTCTCTCCCTCCAAGGCCAGGAAGGTAGCAGCCAAGGAGAGCCTTTCAACTTCCTCTGGGCCCATACATGGTGAAGCTGTACCTGCCTCTCCTCTTCCTCCAAAGCCAGGATGGTAACAAGATGGAGGAATGGCCTTCAGTCTTCCTTTGGGGCTAGGCATGGCAGAGCTATGCCTGCCTCGCCTCTTTTACAGGTGCAAAGAGAGAGGTATGAATGCTCTGTAATATTTTTTACATATTTTTTTTCTTTTGAGGGAGACAAAATGTCTGCTTCAAACATTTCCTGCACAGTGGCAGTTCTCCCATACACCCAAAATGAAAAGTCCTTTGGCTTAATGCAGGCATGGTGACTTGTTTACACCACAAATAAAATGTTTTTAGGGGGCACAGAGTTCTGCCCATGCGAATGCATGAGGTAGGAGAGAAGCAGGGCTTGCTGGGCCAGAGACTGCTTCTCCAGCTCAAAAAAGAGCAAGAGGCTTCTGGCCCTTGCTTAAATGGCGTTTTTCATCCTCAATGGAATGGAAGAATTCAAAGACATAGCTGTGTTAGTTTAGAAAATCAATATGCAAAGGGATCCTGTAGCACCTTTGAAACTAACTGAAAGTAAGAAGCCGGTAGCATGAGCTTTTGTAGACTTGAGCCTACTTCTTCAGATGCATGTGCATCTGCAAATGAAGTCCCTTAAGATGTACATGCATCTGAGGAAGTAGGGTCAAGTCTAGAGCAATTTATGCTACCAGCTTTTTGCTCTTAGTTAATCTCAAAGGTGCTACAGGATCCCTTTGAATACTGGGAATGGAAGGATTGCAGAGGACTCTAGAGCAGGGGTAGGCAACCTGCGGCCTGGGGGCCGGATGCGGCCCAACGAGGCCTTTGGACCGGCCCCAGGCTGGTCCTGCCGCCGCCGCCGACAACCCCTGCTGCCCGCCATGATGATATTGATTATTGTTGTTATTACTTGTTCTTGGGGGTTTTCTTGGCAAAATCTCCACAGGAGTTTTGCCATCATGGCTTTTCTGGGGCTGAGAGAGTGTGCATGCATATTTTTAAAAAAAATTATTTTTTTTTTATTTTTGCTTCAGCCCCACAATTGTCTGAGGGACAGCAACCCGGCCCCCGGCTCAAAAAGGTTGCCTATCCCTGCTCTAGAGGGTCCCACAAAACCTTGGAGGGAACCCAGCATACACAGCACTGCCTCACACAGGTGTTTCTAGTGATGGTCAAGGCAACTTGATGAGTCAGGGTGACGAGGGAAGTTATCAACAACAAAATTGTAACAGAGCCAGTGTGGGTAGCATTTTGAGTATTGGACTGGGTAGGGATGCATCTACGCTAGAAATAATACAGTGTGACACCACTTGCACTTTAACTGTCCTATGGAATCCTGGAATTTGTAGTTTTATAAGGCCTTTACCCTTTTATGCCAAAGAGTAAGAAAATCCCTTGTTAGGATTTTCATAAGTAAACAACTTAAAGACACACAACAACAACAAATATGATTACGAGTTTGCACTACATAACACTAAGATAGCCATACAGCAATAGGGTATCTTGGGGGGGGGGG